AGCCAGAACGGATTGGGAAAGAAGCCAGCTCAACTACGTGCTATAATGCTGAATTTTTGTTGTGTCTTTTAACTGTTTCAGGTTGCCCAGTTTACACGTCCAGAACGTTTTATTGGCTTGATGGAAATCCAAGTTTGAAGGCTTGCTGTGAAGATAAAGTCACGTACTACACCATGGAGTGCTTCGGAGCTCAAACAAAGACCCAGAGCATTGTCTTTCAAGGCCCTCAAAATGGTATGTCACAACTGGGAAATGACCAAAATCTGCCCAAGTCTGGAAACCAGTTTGGGTACCCGACTTTGAAGGTCAATGCGTGCCGAATCAGTGGGACTCGATCCAAAGGGGCTTTGCTACATCAATCTACAAGTTTCATACTACAACGACGGGGCATTGGATGAGCGGATCGAAGATTGGAAGGCCTCGAACGAACCTGCCAAAGATCGTGTCGAAGCTGATTTTTTTCTGTCTTTGGATTCAGCAATCTCAATCCTTATCGGAAAGGGATCACTAGGCTGTTTTGAGTTTCAATTCTTTTTCCGAGTTTGTTTGGGTTAATTCGAGTTGTAATTCGTCAAGGACTTCCTTATGAGTTTCTAGGAATTAGTTCGAGTCTATTTAAGTCGAATCTTTGGTTGTAAATTTGAGTTTTATGCATTATTGAATACAGAGTTAGCGATTAGGGTTTCAGGTTTAGAAGGCAATATTGTGGAAATGGTTTTGAAAACAATGTAGGGTGGTCGATTTTTGTCTGTGGTGATAAGATATTATTATGTGATTGGAGGATATTAGTGTGCGATGTGTGGATATTTTGGCTGTGTGGTCGGATATTAGTCTAAGACATACAGATATTATTATGTGAGCGGAAGATATAAGTTAGTGTTGGTGAGGATATTTATTATGGTAAGAACGAATATTAGTCTGGGTGGTGTGGATGTTTTTTATGTTGTACGGATATTGGGGCACTTTTGATAACTATTCTGATGTGATCCTTTGTTTATTTAAGCATCTAGCATCACACACTTAGTCAACCATATTACACCAATTTACGCAGCGATTAGGATTTAGTGTTTAGCGATTAGGGTTTAGAGTTTACGTGTAGTTGGTATTAGTCTGCAATGGTCAGATAATAGTCTGGGTGGTTTGGATATTTGTTCTGTGTAGATGTTTATTTACTGATTTGTATATGATTACATCAATTTAGGGTTTAGTGTTAGGGTTTATAATTAGGGTTTATAGTTTAGGATTTGATTTTGGGGTTGAGGTTTAGAGTTTAGGGTTCAGGGTTCAAGCTTTGTGTTTAGTGTTTACGATTAGGGTTTCAGGTATAGGGTTTGAGTTTTGATTTTGGGTTTAGAAGACAATATTGTGGAACTGATTTTGAACACAATGTAGGGTGGTCGATTTTTGTCTGTGGTGATAAGATATTATAATGTGATTGGAGGATATTAGTTCACGATGTGTGGATATTTTGGCTATGTAGCCGGATATTAGTATAAGACATCCATATATTAATATGTGTGTGGTGGGTATTAGTCTGCATGGTGAGGATATTAATTACGGGCTGACTGATATTGGTCTTAGGCGGTGGGATATTAGTCTGGCTGTTCTGGATTTTTTTATGGTGAACGGATATTATTATGGGTGGTTTGCATTTGTTTTGTGTGGATATTTATCTATGTTTGTTTGTGTTGATATTTAGTTTAAGCAAATCCTTATTAAAACAAAGTCGTTTTTCGATAAACCGCGATACAACTAGTATTTAATGTCATTCCAACTTGGCAATCACATAATCTAAAATCTAAAAAAGTACAACCACATAAAAAACGGAAAAGGAGTAGTTCAAATGTTTTCTTGCTTGGCCTAATTCTCGATCATGCCACGACGAGGTTGGGATGATCCTTCTCTTAGTCACGGTCTCTTCGCTGTTGTTTTAGTTCTTGCCATTGTCCAATATCCCTGGAGCATATATAAATATCCAGGTATAAATCAACTGATATTCTGGCCACACATAACTAATATAAGGTAACTATAATCCATTCAATAAATAGCAAACAAATATCCAAACATGGAGGACAAATATCCAAACATAATATTTTCAAGGGTTAATACCCTCGTTTGGCACGAAGTATAGCGTTAGTGACATTTCTGGCCCAAGTTTTCAAATAAGACATCTCTGGCCCACTTTTCAAATTATCGGACGAATTTGGCCTATGGGGCGGGTTGACTGTCAGATTTGACGGTCAACAATGTTCTCCGTTGCTGACTCAGCATTGGACTCTGACGTGGCTTGTCCATGTCATTTATTTTTTAAAAAAAATAAAAAAAATAAACAAAACTAAAAGGGAAAGGTGGAGACCAGGTCCACCACACACTACCATCTCTTTCATTCCCCCTTCTTCCTCCTGTGAACCCAACCCCCTCTTATCCCTTCCCCGAACAACTCCGGCCGATCCCTTGAACTGCCATGCCCCCAATCAACTAACCACAACGCAGATTTTTTATTTCATCGAAGAAAACAATTTTAGGGATTTTTGTTATTGTTGACCCTAATTACCTGAGGGAAGGCGGAGCTCTGGGCCCAGACGCTGCCGTCGTGGCCGACGATGGCGGCGGAGGCGAGGTGCTGGCCCTGCTGGCCTTCGATCTCGCACATCAGGTGCTCGTCGACGTAAGTCTGCCACGACATTTTCTCGCCTATTTTTGGTTTGACTCTGGCTCACCGGCGCGTGGGCGCTTTTCCTTTTTTTTCCGCGCGTTCGAGAACTTGGACCTTCTGTTTGGCCGGGATGTTGATCGGAGTAGGTTAATTACAATTTTACGGACTTTTACCTGGTGGATGATGAGTAAAATTTTGTTTAATCGAGTTCTGTTTTACGTTTTACCACTTTTTCGAGTTTCCACCGTGGTTTTGTAGTGGGAGCAAGGAAGGGGGAAAGGTGGAGCGACCGATGGATGCGGAGGGAAAGGTTTGAATGGGTTTGTGGACCACCTCACGGATTGGATCCGGTCCGGGAAGATGATTGATTGATGGGCGGCGGAGTTGTTCGGGGAAGGGGATACGAGGGGGTTGGGTTCACAGGAGGAAGAAGGGGGAATGAAAGAGATGGGTAGTGTGTGGACCTGGTCTCCACCTTTCCCTTTTAGGTTTGTTTTTTTTATTATTTTTTTTAACTTACTGACATGAAATGTTCATAAAAAGGGAAATAAAAATAAATGACGTGGACAAGCCACGTCAGAGTCCAATGCTGAGTCAGCAACGGAGAACATTGTTGACCGTCAAATCTGACAGTCAACCCGTCCCATAGGCCAAATTCGTCCGATAATTTGAAAAGTGGGCCAGAGATGTCTTATTTGAAAACTTGGGCCAGAAATGTCACCAACGCTATACTTCGTGCCAAACGAGTAGGGATGGCAACCAAACACGAACCCACGGGTACCCACCCGACCCAACCCGGTCAACGCGGGTAAAATCCGTGTTGATGGGTTTTGGGTCGGGTTTGGGTTTAAACCCGTTCACTATTCACCGGGTTGGGTTGGGTTTGGGTTTTGGTAAACCCGACCCGTGGGTACCCGCCCACACATATAATTAATTTTCTCGGTATATTTAATATTTTAAACAACTAATCTTATTTATGTTTGTGGAGACATGTCTAATTTTTTCTTTCTAATGGTGTAGAATGAAGTTTGTGTTATCGAGTGGAGAGTGAAGAAACTTAATTGAAAGGAAGAAGCCTTCAATTAATCATGTTATTTATGGATAATTTATTATTTATTTCAATTTTCTTGAGTCTTCTAGATTGGTGTTGAACAATTTGTATAGTTAATTTGTGATTTGCTTGAATTTTCTAGAATGGTGTTTTAAATATGGATAATTTGTATTGAGAGATTGATATTTGAGTTTAATTTTGATAGGAACTTGTTATTGTAAAATTTTTACGACAAAAACCCGTGGGTACCCATGAACCCGCGGATACCCAGCGGGTTGGGTTTGAGTTTTTCAAACCCAGTGGGTTTTACCCCGGGTTTTTTTCACGGATAAACCCATGGTTTGGGTTTGGGTTTGCAAAACCCGACCCAACCCGACCCATTGCCATCCCTACAAACGAGGGTATTAACCCTATTTTCAATATCTGGACATCACAGAACTAACATTATAGAAGTAATATCCAGATACAACGAATAAATATCCAGACATAATATAACTGATATCTCAACCGCACAGAACTAATATAAGTTAACTAGCATCCATATAAGGTAGAGAAATATCAAGACAGAGTAAATAAATATCGAGACATCACATAACTAATATCCGAACAATCAATTACAGAACAATACCCACATCATAAAAAAAGTAGTATCCCAAGCATGCCAATTGTTATCCACTATGAAAGGAACTAATGTTTCGGATCTACAAATCGAATCCCAGATCTCAACCACACAACTATCCAGACAATTGAAAACTGATATCCTGGCCGAATCGAACTAATATCGGAACACACATAAAACATATCCACAAAACCCAGATCCAGTCAAATCCACAAACCCAGCAACCCAAACCCAGATCCAATCAAATCCAAAAACCCAGAAAACATACCCACAAGCATGCTAATTGTTATCCACTATGAAACGAACTAATGTTTAGGATCTACAAATCGAATCCCGGATCCCAACCACACAACTATCCAGACAATTGAAAACTAATATCCTGCCCGAACAGAACTAATATCGAAACGCACACAAAACATATCAACAAACCCCAGAAAACAAAGAAACCCAGATCCAGTTAAATCCACAAAATCCACAAAACCCGGCAACCCAAACTCAGATCCAATCAAATCCACAAAACCAGAAAACATATCCCCAAAATTCAAAAAAAAAGCAACCCAGATCAAGTCAAATCTAAGTTACCAGAAAACAAATCCATCAAACTCATCCAGGAAAAACGTAGAGAAAGGAAAACCCAGATCTAGTCAAAGCCATGAAAACCTAACTCCAATATACTCAAACGAACATGAGTATCCATGAACAAAGAAAAAAAAAACTCGGCTACCTCAGTCAATGAAGTTGTTCTTTCGTCAACGACCGCCGTCAACCAACCCCTTCGCCGCCGCCGCCGAGTTCGCTGCAATGTCGCCGCCGAGTTCGCTACAAAGCGGCGCCGCCTAGTTCGCTGCAAATCGCTGCCGCCGAGTTTGCTACACCGCGCGGCCGCTTCGTATGAGTTCGGGAGAGGAGGAAAGGGAGAGAGAAAGGGAGAGAGAGGGGGAAAACCAATTTGGCGAAGAAATGAAAAGGGGTAGGGTTTAGGGTATTCTTTTGGGTTTTTGAATTTGTGGGCCCGGTGGGCCCCGCAAGCCGTCGTGAGCTTGGCCCAGCCAATGGAATCGGCTCTCATCCCTCACATTCTCGCGTGTTTTCTCCTCCACCGATGGATGACGGCTTGACGACGTGGAGACCCATCTGACCCTGTCAGTATCTCCTAACAAAAGCCCTTGTTAGGAGCATAACTAGATTGGCCCAAGTCGTGGCCGAGCTCAACAGCTAGACGAGTCTACTGAAGAAGATCTATCCAGTGCTTGATGATGCCGAAGAGAAGCAGATGAGGAGCCGAATGATCAGCATCTGGGTAACCGAGCTTCGCGATTTGGCTTACGATGTAGAAGATGAGCTTGATATCTTTGCTACAGAGCAATTGCAGAGGAAGATCAAAGCAGAAGCTGCTTCAGCTAGCACAAGTAAGGTTCGGAAACTAATTCCCACTTGTTTCTCTGGCATCAATCCGGGAACACTCAAGTTTAATGCCGAAATGATATCAAAGGTGCGAGAAATAACTGTTAGATTGCAGAAGATCTCTGTAGAGAAAAATCATATGGATTTAAAGGAGATTTCCGGGACTAGGCTACCAATGACAACAAAAAGGTTGCCAACGACTTCTCTAGTGAACGAGAGCAAAGTTTATGGGAGAGATGGAGATGGGCTGGCCATCTTGGAGATTTTGAGAGCTAACCAAAGTGATAAAGATGTATCTGTGATTCCTATAATTGGAATGGGGGGACTTGGCAAGACCACCCTTGCACAGCTTGTTCTTAGCCGGGCGAAACCAGAGTTTGATCTAACAGCTTGGGTTTCAATTGGTGAGGATTTTGATGTTCATAGGATAACCACGACCATTCTAGGATCAGATAGTTCGGGTGGTAATGATTTAAATTCGTTGCAAGAGAAGTTGAAGGAAAAGTTGTCTGGGAAGAAATTTCTAATTGTTTTGGACGATGTTTGGAATGAGGATTACCAGAAGTGGATTCTTTGTCGCGCTCCACTTGAAAGAGGAGCTCTAGGAAGCAAAATACTCATCACCACTCGTAATAGCAGTGTATCATCATTCATCAATCATGGGTACCATTCCACCTTATCTTGTCAATGAGTTATCTTTCAATGATTGCCTTTCTCTATTTGCTGATCATGCTTAGGGAGCAACAACTTCCGCATCAGATTCATATTTGGAAGAGGTTGGAAAATAAATTGTCAAAAGGTGTCAAGGGTTGACTTTAGCTGTTAAGGCTCTTGGTGGGCTGTTACGAGGTAAACAGAACCCTAAGCAATGGGAAGAAGTGTTAAACAACAAAATATGGGATTTGCCTAGGACCAATGGTATTCTTCCTGCCTTGAGGTTGAGCTATCATCACCTTCCTTCACACTTGAAGCGATGCTTTGGATATTGTGCAGTACTTCCTAAGGACATAGAATTTGAGGAGGATGAATTGGTGTTACTGTGGATGGCAGAGGGCTTGCTTGTGCAACCAAACGATAAGAAGTCTGCAAAGGACTTGGGCCACAAATATTTTCATGATCTATTGTCAAAATCATTCTTCCAATGATCGAATGACTACCCATCTTTTTTTTAGAGGATGTGATAACCAATCTCTATTTACCATGCATGATTTGATGAATGATCTGGCAGAGTATGAGAGTAAATGGATATGCTTCAGGCTAGATGATGGCAGGTTGGAAGGTACAGAATCATTCTCAAAAGTTTGGTATTCTTCTTTCAGCCGTCACAAGTATGAATTGATACAACGATTTGAAGTCTTCGCCAATATGAAGAACTTGCGATCTTTCTCAGCATTGCCATTTGCAACATATTCAAATGACTTTTTGTCCAGCCGAGTGTTGCTCGAATTGGTGCCAAAACTAAAATATCTAAGGGTACTTTCATTATCTGGTTATAAAATAGAGGAGTTGCCATATATAATTTTTACCCTGAGGCATTTGCGGTATCTTAACTTGTCGTGCACTGACATCGTTGGCTTGTATGAAAGGTTAGGTGATCTCATCAACTTGCATATTTTGAAATTGCATGGGTGCTGTAAGCTTGGTAAGCTGCCACGGAATATTGGTAATCTGAACAATCTATAGTGGCTCGACATTAGTAACACGGTCAGCTTGCAAGAGCTTCCAGTAGAGATAGCTAAGTTGACAATCTCATGATTTTACCCAAGTTTATGGTAGGGAAGGAGGGGACAGGGCTTCGGATACTAGACTTGAAGAATTTTTCTCAACTTCAAGGAAAGATTCACATAAAGGGTTGTGTAGTAATGTTGTTGATATCCGAGATGCGGAGCTTACCGATTTAAAAGACAAGCAAGGCCTTGATGATTTGGCCTTGGAATGGTGTACTGACTCCCATTGCGTTCGGGATGAAATAGTTGAGATAGAGGTGTTGAACTTACTACGACCTCACTGGAAGTTGAAAAAGCTTTCAGTTTAATTTTATGGCCCATACAGTTCCCAGTATGGGTTGGAGACCCCACATTTGCTTATATGGAGCATTTGGAGCTTTTCCATTGGGTCACTTCCTCGAATCGGGCAGCTACCCTTGCTTAAAACTCTGAAAATCAGTGGAATGGATAAAGTGAAACAAATCGGAGGTGAATTTTATGGGAATGATAATATGGGCATTGGATCATCTTTACCTTGTCTATTGCCATAATTGGAGACTTTATGTATAGTGGATATGGCAGAGTTGGAAAAATGGTCTTCTTGTTCTCTTGGTGTGTCGACTAAATGCTTCTCGAAGTTGCTTAAGCTTACAGTCTGGAACTGCCCCAAGTTGATTGGAAGCTTGCCAAACTCCCTTCCTTGCCTCCAAGTACTAGAAATTCATGGGTGCCAACTGCTGGCTGATTTACCTAAAGCACTTGCTTCACTTTCAGAATTGTCTATTCAAGAGTGTAGCAAGATGATGCTCAGAAATGCATCTAGTCTGGAATCGCTTGCCATATTAAGGATCAGGAAGATTTCAAGGCGGGTAAATTTGCAAGAAGTGATCATACATGGCTTGGGGGCACTTCCTTCTTTGAATGACCTGTCCATTCAGGATTGTGAAGACCTTAAGTTTCTAGGAGAAGGGCCTCTGCTATTCAGTCTTGAATCCTTGCGCTTAGATAATTGCCCAAAACTTGAGAAGTTCCCAGATGTGTTGCATATTAAAAGACTAGTTTTTCAGCATTGCCCAAAGGTTGTCTCCTTCTCAAAACGAGGCTTGCCATCGAGCAATAGTTTTGTCTATATCTCAAGTTGTGATTCTTTGAAGTCCTTTCTTATGACGAACACAAATTCTCAGAGGAATTGACACTCTCTGGATGTTCATCTCTCTCAAACTTACCCACTACTGGCATGTTTCCTAGTTTGCTGAAGCCTATTTCAATCTGCAACCTCTCAACACAGTCTGTATAAGACCTACTGCGCCATCTTGTTCTGCCTCAACTCACTGAATTATCAATAGCATGCAGTCCATAGTTGGAGAGTACCTTTGCTCCTCACCATAAAATGTCTCAGGTTCGGGCATTGCAAGAGTTTGAGTTCTCTTCCCAATCAACTGCCACACCTCACCTCTCTTCGACTTCTGGAGAAAGCAGGCTGTGAGAGTCTAGAGTCCTTTCTGGAAGACGGGTTGCCCTTGAATCTAATCATGCTTGCTATTAGGAATTGCAGGAGTCTCAAGCAACCAATGTCCGAGTGGAGGCTGAACAGGCTTAACTCACTAAAGTGACTCTCAATTGTAGGGGAATGTCCTACTATTGATCAGATGGATTCCTTCCTAGACGATGGAGGGTTGTTGCTCCCGACTTCACTAACTTTTCTCCACATTGGAAACCTCGGTAATTTGAAGTCTATATCTAAGGGCTTGATGTGTCTTAGTTCATTAGAAGAGCTGGTGATTATGGACTGTCGGAAACTCCATTTTTTTACCTGAGGGGCTCCCCTCATCACTCGGGTGCTTGAAACTTTGTGAATGTCCTCGCATAAAGCAAAAATGTGCAAAGCATAAAGGACAATACTGGCCCATCATACACCACATCCCTTGCGTCGCAGTTGATAAAAGTGAGTCTTGTTCATATTCATGGCCTAACCTTTAAGAGAGTCGGGAGTTCAGTTCGTGGAGTGGATGGAAAATCCAATTCCAAGAGGAAAAAATGGGTGAAGTAAACTGTATTATTTGTCTGCTATATAGGATCACACTGAAGAAAGGATAAGAAAAGCACCTGCAAGGTATATGTTGTGTTAATGCCATCGCAAGATATTATGGGCGAGAAAGTACTGATATGGTATTGGTTGGGGTAGGGGTAGTTACTAGTAGATAATTGTTAGTTATATTAGTATTCGGCCAATTAGATTATGAATATGTAATTTTCGGCATTTGATAAGGAATATCGGACAACATGGATTCATTTAATTTATTTATTTATTTTAATTAGATTAATTATTTTTTAAATTGATGCATTTAACTCATTTATCTATTTTAATTAGATATATTATTTTAATGTATGAATTTGAAAAATACATTGCTTAGAAGTTGAATAATTTTGGTGATTCCTCAAAAAATGAGGAAGAAAAAAAACAAGAGATTGACATTCAAATACAAATATTGTATTTTGGTGAATGATTCGGGTGGTTTTATACTCAATTACAAGTATTGTATTTCATTCATAACAATGAATTATCCAAATTACATGTATTATCTTTGTCTAGATACATCAACCAAAATTACATGTTCAAACGACTTTGCGATAAATTACCATCACTAAAAAAATTTAATGTACAAATGAGAAAAGTAAAAAAAAATACAAACAATAACATCGAATTCAAATAACTTTATAATTATATTCATCAAAATTTGTGTTTACCATTTGCTTGCACACGTTCTTACTCCAAGTTAACGTGATGCCAAAGCAAACTTCACCCCTTTTCCCTTGTTCCCCATAAAAGTTTTCTCATAAGAAATTATGCCTCTTCCCCTCCTTACCTTGAATCACACTCTCTCCTACTAGGGATGGCAATGGGTCGGGTTGGGTCGGGTTTTGCCAAACCCAAACCCACGGGTTTATCTTTGAAAAAAACCCGGGGTAAAACCCACTGGGTTTGAAAAATTCAAACCCAACCCAACCCGTTGGGTATCCGCGGGTTCATGGGTACCCACGGGTTTTGTCGTAAAAAATTTACAATTACAAGTTCTTATCAAAATTAAAGTAAAATATCAATCTCTCAATACAAATTATCCATATATAAAACACCATTCTAGAAGATTCAAGCAAATCACAAATTAACTATACAAATTGTTCAACGCCAATCTAGAAAACTCAAGAAAATTGAAGCAAATCACAAATTATCCATAAATAACATGTTTAATTGAAAGCTTCTTTCTTTCAATTAAGTTTCTTTACTCTCCACTCCATAACATCAACTTCATTCTACACAATTGAAAAGAAAAAATTAGACATGTCTCCACAAACATAAATAAGAATAGTTGTTTAGAATATTAAATATACCGAAAAAATTAATTATATGGGTGCGCGGGTACCCACGGGCCGGGTTTACCTAAACCCAAACCCAACCCGGTGAATAGTGAACGGGTTTAAACCCAAACCCGGCCCAAAACCCGTCAACACGGATTTTACCCGCGTTGACCGGGTTGGGTCGGGTGGGTACCCATGGGTTCGGGTTTTGTTGCCTTCCCTATCTCCTACTCACCCAGAGAGGAGGAAGGGCGTAGTAAGCGATAAAATGCTTCGGAGAGTTGAAAATAAGCGTAGACCTGGAAATGCCCGAATAGATCAACCTTTCAAACTGCTCACAATAGAAAAAGAAAAATATTAGAAAATGTGGGGGGAAAATACCCAGAAATAGAGTTTGCTGTATAAGCAAAAATAGGTAAAGATAAAAGATGTTCTCACAATGTTCATCCCCCAAACTCAGGCTCTCCCCCTCCTTTGCTTCCATGTTGTTACATAAAAAGATTCCAGCAGACCAGTAAAAAAGCAGGGGAGACAATCTCATTACAAAGAGGAAAACAAGGCACAAGACTTTAGACATCTAAAGTACATCTGAACCCACCAACACCCACTTGAACTGGCTAGCATGCTGATGATACGAGATCGATTCGTGTTCATATCGTCGAACTATTTTCCTTAATATATTTTGATTTTTGAATTGTTGAATCAAAATGGTAATATTGTTTTTTTTTTATCCGATTCAACCACTGAGATTAACAATAGGATATTAATGAATATAGAAGAGCTCCAATTATCCCGTCTCAATATAATAATTAAATTCATCTGCTATTTCTTAAACAAATAAATAACAGGGGAAATATAAAGAGACAACAATCTCTGGTGGAAGAACGCAAGGAAAAAAAAACCCACATCTCTCACCAGTGACAACACATAAACCTGAAACCTATTGAAATCAATCAAGTTGGTTTCAAGTTCTGGAACATAGCATCCCACCTGATCTCTTCAGCAGGAGTTGACCAGTAGTAGACTTGTTCATCATCATAATTATCCTGGTGATGATCATAAGGATCATCATGACAGTAATCATCATCACCACCACCATCCATTAGTTTCTCCACTCCATACATCCTTGAGAAGCTGCTCATGAGCCTGGTACTGCCACCTCCAGCAAGCCCATTCACCATTAATGGGCTCCCATTAGTGAGCAGAAGCCTCTCTTGCTTACAGTCACCAGTACTCACCATCATAACCTTCTTCTTCTTCATAATCAGCTGGTTGTTGTTGTTGTTGTTGATGTGTCTCTTGGGCATGGCTCCTTTCCTCCTAGGAACCACCATAAGCGCCCCTGCCGCCGCGGATTCCTGCCTCCCAATCCATGCCCTGAGGTACTTGGCCAAGCTCCTCTGAGTTCTTCTGATTGCAACCACCATCCTTGCAATGGGATGTGGACGATTGTACCCTCCTCCCCTGACCAATTTGTCCTTCCTGGCAAGCTTCAGGATCTCCAGCCTGTGCTTGGCGATGGAGATCCCCATGCTTTGGAGGAACTCATGGTTGAAGTATGCTATGTCTTCTTCCTCTAGCTCGTTGTTGGTGAAGGCTACCCCATACTCGTACACCAGAGATGGATCGAGCCCGGTCTTCGACAGCCATGAGAACCAATCCATGTCTGATTTTTGAGGTGGAGTGTGTGAATGGAGTTTGAAGTTTTGAGGTGGAGAGATGGAAGAGGGTTTGGAGCTTTATTTAGTTGTGACTCAACTAAAGAAGTGAGAATTGGTGGTTGGGTTGATGCTAGCTTGAGAGTGACTTAAAGTGGGGGAAAAAGGGGAGAGGAGGAATTGTAATGTGGGCATGGTTCTAAAATAGCAGAAACTAAAAGGGAAAGTTGGGTGATGCAGAGTATGTATGTATATGAGAAGTGAGAATGAATGAAATGCTGCCATCAATCACGGGTAGGGAGGGAAGAGAGAAAATAAAGAAGAAGTGCATCAGAAACTACTTTGGTTGCCTTTCCAGTGTGCGAAGTGGCTGCAGGGGAAGTGCATCAGCAGGATGGGATCCCAATTTAAGTTTGAAACTTTGCCATGTACTTTGGTTCTGTTACAATGTTCCGGAGAAGGGTTCTATGGTGTGCTTCGGTTTCGAATTGATATAAATATTATCGTCGTTATTATTAGAGCACGGCTCTGGCTTGTTTATCTCGTGTCATATTTGACACGGTCCGTCAATTTTCGTGTTGAGTTAGTTCAATTTTTTTTTAAGAAAATCAGGCTCATATACGATTTGAATTGTATGTGCATATTCATATTTGTGTCGTGCTCATATTTGTACTCAATGAAAATGAAAAAACAAGAGGGAATAAAAAAGAAGGATAAAATTGGGCGGAGAATGAAAGTATTAAATATGAATGTTTGAGAAATTTAACAAATAAGAGAAAGAAGAAAATTAAAAGTATAGCGGGTATAATTTGACCTACATGTGTCTTTGATCATTTTTATTTATGATAGTAATTACATATCTTTATGTTCAGTTGTTCACTTCTAATAAGTAATAACTATAAATAGTTATTTGTGAAGTTTTATTATTTCTCAAATAATAAATTACAACAATATAACACGGTCGAGAATGCAAATACTATCGATTATGATAACTTGGTCAATATAAATGATACAAGAAGCGCTTTGGGTGTACTATGCTAGTTAATAGCATTATGGTTTCTGGCAAAAAAAAAAACGTAATTTCTCTTTAGACGTGTACTTGTTGAAAAGGAAAAGATTCCAGACACTCTCATTAATGGCTAGTTAGTTTCTGATCTTCTAAACATGTTTTCCAATTCCCCCCTCGGTACTCATGAAACAGGAGGGGAGCGTACATGTGAACATGATTACCAGTTAATTACTCACTTCAACAAAAGGAAGTGGTAACTCTCATCTTTGAAATTGTTGTTCTCTGAGCTTTTGAAAAAAAGGCTTTTGTAAGAATTATTATTTTCAAACTGAAAGATCTTACATGGTCAAATCTCATAAAAGGGGAGTATAATAGAATCATTGCGGAGTCAAATATTCGAAAAATAGTGTACCATGAAAAAAAAAAGTTCAAAGGATTAGAGTGGAGTCAGTAACCTAAACAAGAGCTAGAAATCTATTTTCGAAAAATTTGAACCAACGAAGACTAATTAATTAATTATTAATTAATTAAAAGCACGCAGTTTAGCTTTAATGGGTTTACTGTTGCATACGACAAATCCGGATAAATGTAAAACCGGATATCACTGTTCTTACAAATATTTCGTATGTTGTTACACTATGCACTTTGATTTTATTATTAGAAAACATATTACAAAAGATTATTGTAACAACATTCTATGAAAGTTATATAAATTAGAAATACATTATGTAAAAGTTATGGATGGACAGTGATTTCTTATGTATCAATTACATAAATATATTCCATAAGTATTAGATAATGATTAAGACACTGTGTAGAGCTTATTAAAGGCTAATTATTTTGTGGTTACCTTTAGACAGCTATCTCGGTAATTTTTAATTTTTCAGCTACACCCGATTTTATCATAAGCTCTTTTTCTCACAGTGCATTGTTTACCTTACAGATTTTGCATGATGCAAATTAATGACATGTTGAACATTATATTTGATTATAAGTTTCTTAATATATTTATAATACGTAAATCTTTCATGATATGTAATAAAAAATACTGAAATATATGTCTAAAGGTAAAAGAGTTTATGGTCAAATTGAGGGTAGGAGATTGAATATATATATATAGTTTTATCAAATGTGATACTTCTCGTAACTTGATTTTATTATTAGACCACATATTATGAAAGATTTAACACTATTCTACAACTGTTACATAAATTACGAATACATTATTTTAAACTTATGAAGATATAATTATTTCTCAAATATCACTGAAAAAAATGTATTATGTAAGTCTATGGTAATGATTAAGAAACTACATGAAGATTATCTATATATCTATACTAGAACTATTTTGTGAATTATTTGATTTCAAAATAATCATTAAATGAATAAACGATTATACTAAGTTTTAGATATAATTAGTTTCTTACCGCCGCGAAGCGCGGGCCAAAGAACTAGTATATTGTTGATTACTGTCTCTTAAATTTATTAAAAAATATAAATCGTATGATTTTGAGTGTGGAGTGTGGTTATACCCTCTTCTTCACCACTACAAAGAGCTTATATCCCTAGTGTTTAAATAGAAGGGTTCATTCAAGTAGGTAAGGTCACCTATCTGCCATGGGTCATGTGAACTTTGCATTTGAGACATAAAAAGCAATAGCATTCCTTGTTGTCGAAGCATATGTCATATGGGAGGCAAAAGAAAGAAAAGAAACTGGTCCATCTCCATCTCAATCCAAAGATAGGGTTTGACTTTTCACTTTTAGTAATGAGTATTTGGTAGGATTGGTTGCAGCCTAACATCACCAAACTGAATTGCTGTGGGCAAGGGATCTCTAAAATAAGAACTCAATAGCATCATCAATGCTCCCACACATCACCAATTGGCTTTTAGTAATGTGAAAGTTGCCTTTCAACCCCTCCAAGATAACCTACAATCAATAGTGGGTTTCAGCATCTTAACTGGCTAACGATGTTGCATAGGTGTTTGCAACCAAGAGCAGAGAGATCGAAAGAGCCGCTAGCGAATCGGAGGAGCTTCAGGACTTTCTTGGTCACGAGGTGGATCGCCTTTTTTTGTTGACAATCGATCCACTCTTTACGGACCATGAGAGCGTTCAGCATTGATCTCATTGTCCATCAAAAAGCGACTCTTATAGTCTCTGTGTTTTCTAATATGGAGGCAAAACATAGTATGTTGCTGATGCAGTACCTATATACAATTTATACAAACTAAGAATCTTTTCACATTGACTCATTCGATGAAATGGCATTCCTCAATTTAACTTCGTAGCTGTGCAGAAACTCGCCGTTCGTAATTGATTACTTGGTTGATGATACCAATTATGGTCGTAATTTCTTGTAGTTTTGAAAGTAAAAGGAACCCAAGTCTGCCATGGCATATGAATAGAACAAATGTGTAATATTATTGCCTATCAAAACAATTTTACAACAACATACATATATATCTGATAGCCATCCCGCGGCTCTCTCTCCCGCCAAATTGTTGCAGAATGACTTGAAAGTTAAAAGCAATCTGCAGACTTTGCTTATCTCAAAGTGATCAAATGTAAAGCACCTAAAAAATCTACAAAACCAAAAAGCTGTAGCAGACAGAAGGTAAGTAGGTAACAGTTTCAAGTTCTTATTGTTCGACTGGTTCTTGAAAAGAGATGTATCTGTGGGTCTATCTATCTTCTCTGGAAGTTGAAAGCCCTGATGGAGACGGCAAAGATGGAGGCGAAGACGACTACCAATCCAACCATCACTCCAGCAATGACACCCAAGAAATCGTGCCTGAACCCGAAGTAGCTCCTCAGGAAATCCTCCACAGTTTGCCCTCCATCTAACTGTGTCTTCACATCTCCATATTGGGACACAATCAAACCATACAGTGTCCATGAGATTGGGTTGGCCCAGTAACTCCATCTCCACCACACTGGAAGGCTCTGCAATCATCATCACAAATGGGTTAGTCACAGAATTCATTTCTAGTCATGTAAAGATTGAAATCATGAATGATATATAAATTAGGACTTACCGGTCTGGGGATGATGAACCCGGAGAAGAGATTCCAAATGGCGTAAAAGAAGGAAGAGATGATTGATGCAATGTGGTGATTCGGGGTGACTGCGACGGTCATCATCCCATAGTAGGTGAAGTAGAGGAGAGTGGTGAACATGAAGAAGATGTACCACAGGAACTTCTCTGCGCGCCACTCGAACCCCATCATGGAGTATGTGATCAATGCATAGACCAGAGACTGGACCATGATATATGGAACCTCTATGATTGCCTGTGCATAGGCATACGGCATGGCTGAGTACATCCCTGCTGCTCGCTCCCGGTAAAACACAGTTCTTTCAATGGCTACCACTGGCTGCACTGATGATGCATTCTGTACCCCCAAGAACACCACTGCTGAAAACATTGCTCCCATTGCATTGAAAAGGTCTTGGTTCCTAGTTGTCTTGCCGCCGAGATCCCAGAAAATGGTCCCAAATGTGAGGGATATGAAGGTTGTGAATAGGAACCTGACCGCGGTGTATGGAGGATTTCGCCAGTAGGACCAGTGCTGCTTCCACAGGCAAGCCAGGCACTGTGTCATGAATGGTTGAGAGTACTGTGTTGGGAAGTAGAGCTCTTTGGCACCCGGGGCTGCTTTGCTCAAGTCCTTGATCAAGGCCTTGTTTCTCTTGTAGAGGTCTGAGTTCCTGTAAATGTCTGTGAAATCGACCCCGAGAGACATCTCTTGCGCCGTGGTGGTCACCTCTAGCATCCAAGTTGCTGGATTGTAACCGTCTTGGATCTTGCTCACTCCTGGAATTTCCTCAAAGTATTTCACCAATTGGGCGGAGTGGCGGCCTAGAGGGCCAACGTATATCTCTTGTCCTCCTCTCTTCAACAAGAAGAGCTGCAAACAATCCCAAAAAAGAAATTTTCAAAATGGGTAACAATGCAGTTCACTAAACTTGCTTCTAATAGTTATGCACTTATGCTAGTTGATTGATAATTACTTACCTCATCGAATGCTTCAAAGATATCGATGCTGGGCTGATGGATGGTGCAAACAACTGTTCTACCTGTGTCGACGGTGTTTCTCACAGTTCTCATGACAATGGCAGCAGCTCTAGCATCCAACCCAGAGGTCGGCTCGTCCATAAAGATGATGGATGGATTTGCTACCAACTCGACCGCAATGGTTAGCCTCTTACGTTGCTCAGTAGTCAAGCCATTCACACCGGGGAGTCCCACCAAAGAGTTACGTATGGGGTTCAGCTCCACAAGATCCATTACTTCTTCAACAAACAACTGTGGCATACAAAACGGATGCAAGTTAGCTTGATCTTCCATACACACACAAGAGTTAACGCATTAACTCTGTTTCTGGTGTAGTCGAGGATGGATAACTTACCATTCTGGTTTTTTCATCTACTTCTTGAGGCAAACGCAGCCAAGCTGAGTATACTAAAGATTCGAATACAGTAACTTGCGGGGAATGGATATCATTCTGCTCACAATACCCTGAAATCCTAGCGAAAGTTTCTTGCTTCTTAGGGAACCCAGAAATTGTGACACTTCCTTCGATATAGCCACCGGTTTTCCTTCCAGCAAGCACATCCATGAGAGTGGTTTTACCAGCACCACTGACTCCCATGAGAGCTGTCAAAACACCTGGCCTGAAAGCACCACTAACACTCTTTAGAAGCACCAGCTTGTCATCAGTAACACCTTGGCTCCTCATTTCCTGGTAGATTTTTGAGGTAAAAGGAAAAGGGAAATGGTTAATTATTTAACCTCAAATAACGAGAATCGAACACACAATTTTCTTTTTGCTTGCTAGTAATTCTTTTTGTTCTAACTACTAACCTGTGGCATGTCAACTGAGTATATAACATCGTCGAATGTCAGGGAATGAGGCTCAAATGGAAGAACCATCCCTTTCTTCTTGCTTCCACTGGCCTCATCATCTATTTCCTCAGTTCTGTGTTGTGACATCTCAATAGCTCCTGCAGAACCTTCTTCAGGTATGACGGCCTTAAGCTTCTCAAACTCTGTCCATTTTAACGAATCACAAAGGGTTAAGGTTTCTTGCACTAGAAGTATGAACCTGAATAATGTATTCTTGGGTGGCGTTACTTACTGTCCAAGAAAGTAAGAGCAATAACAAAACAAATGTTGAATAGGAACAGGAACCCTAGAGATGCTCCCACTCCTAGCCAATACCAATAGGCTTCTGTGAAGAACCCACGAGATTTTAGCACTTGGATTCCAAGTGATTCTGTAGAGTTGGGCGGAATCTGAATCGAGGAGCAAATGGAGATGAAATCAGTACCATGAATAAAGGGACAAAAATAAAAGAAAAGAAGAACTGAAATGATAATTGCAGGTGGGAATAAGGAAGGTACATGGCTCCAACTGTGTCCAAGGAATTCATTGACTACTATTGCATTCTGCCCATACATCATAGGTGATGCCCAATAAGCCCAAAGCCACCATTTCTTTACATCCTCTGTGATAATAAACCAAGAAGAAATGTTATCACATTACAAAGCCCTAAATCTAGTTAACATAAGTAAAGAAACCAATGTTAACTAACAACAACCAACCTCGTGACAGGACGAATCCACTCAATGCAAAGAGCAGAAGCAAGACAAATGAGCCAAAGGTGTTGGCAATGATCATGTTCCTTCCAGTTGCGGCAATGAATCGAAAGAGAGCAGATGCCATCTGATTAATCAGTACCAATACAAAATAAAGCTTGAGCAACCTGCATTATCACATCACAGTTATAAGTTATAACACAATAATTAGTATTATCAAAGAGCCTTAATTTAGCTGGGATCATAACCTAGAATTAGTATAATCAAAGAGCCTTAATTTACCTTAAAAAGCTGGGATCAAAACCAACGACATAGTAAGTCATGAAGACCCAAACAGCAACTTCATAGAGGGTGACAGGAATCTTCAGAAGCCATGGCGGAATGGAGTATACCCATGACGGGTAAAAGAACAAATTCCTTTGCTTGTAGAACACGGGAAGCTTTGCGATGGTCATTGGAAGCTCAGCCATTCCGTTAAACATGAGCATAACCAATGTGAAAAAGAGAGCACCCACGTAAATGCCACCATTCGCAACCGTGTCCCTGTGCATCTCGGTTCGTAGGAAGACCGTCATAACAAACAGTGACATGATGATTAGCTGGGTAAGCTTGAAGACATAGACAAATGAGTTCCTTTTCATGAGTAAGAACTCTCTTGCAAAGTTGGCCTTCAAGAGCTCCTTGTTCCCAACTCCATATTTCTTGGTTGACAAGGCAGCAGGGTGGCTCTTGGTTTTGTCATAAGGAACTGACAGCTCATCTCCGATCTTTCTTCCCACGTGGAACGACTGGAACGCCTCAGCAAACTCATTTGTTGTAACAAAACGGTATGGTTGATCCCTTCTACTCCAATACTGCTTCTGATCCTTCTTAGATGTGACCTGGAATAGTGAAGAAGAGACATAATATTAGTATCTGGCCACAAGAAAGTGGAACTTTGGCAATGCCTATAATTTTTTACACTCACTTCTTGCAGGAAATCAGCCACTCCTTTCCTGTCAGGACACTTGAATCCCATGTGCTCGAAGAACTCGAGCACATTTTCGCGAGGGCCTTGGTACGCAATCTGCCCATCGGACACCAGAATGATGTCATCAAAGAGGTTGTATGTCTCGGGAGCAGGCTGGAGGAGGGAAATGACTGCAGTGCCATTGAGGATGTGATTTTGCTGCTTCAGTGAGTTCACAATCTGGAATGTTGTGGAACTGTCCAAACCAGTTGAGATCTCATCCATGAACAATGCCCTTGATGGTCCAACAAGCATTTCGCCAGTAGTAACACGCTTCCTTTGTCCTCCAGAGATACCTCTGATCATTTCATCTCCCACAAGAGTGTCTGCACAAACTTCCAGCCCTAAGATCTGTAAGATCCAATTTCAGAAAGTGAAAAATGGATTAGAAACAGCTAAAAATATGAAATTCTTCGTTACGAACTGTTAAATAGCAGTAGCAACTTCAACACTTATTACCTTGAGAATATAGTCTGTAATCACATTGCTCTCCAAACCTTCAGTAGCTGCAGCCTATGGTTCAGAAAGTCAATGGTTAAATACAAGTCGAATCATCATTCTTATAGGTAGGAAATTCAATTGTGATCTTAATTCATATTCCTAACTATCATAATGGCCACATTTATAGCATAGCCTTGATGACCCACCTTCATGAAGACATCAATATCAGGATCAGGTTTAATATTTGCTGCCTTTTCTCTTCTGGATAACTCAGCCAACATATCTGCAAATTTCCCAGAATACAAGTGATTTAGCAAGCACCCATTTTTAACACCATCAAATATACAATCAACATAAAAATGGAAAATAAGGGAGAGAAGGAAAAGAGCTAACCTTGTAGAGATCCAACTCCTTGGACTCTGGCAGCAAAAGCCAACGTTTCCCTAACGGTCAGCTCACCCATGTGAAGATCATGCTGGCTAATGTAAGCTGAAGTTTTCTGGGGAATGAACTCATGCATATCATGACCATTGTAGGATACTCTCCCTGAAACCTTGAGACTGGAATCCAGCCTTCCAGCCAAAGCTAGCAGTAGCGTTGTCTTCCCGGAACTTGGAGGACCCAGAAGCAGAGTGATTCTGCCGGGCTTGATGACTCCACTAACGTCACTGAGAATTGTCAGATGTTTCTTTCTGTTGGGTAGAAGGTGCATCGCATCCAAGAGATCCTATTCAAGATTCAGATAGTTCTTCTGAGTTCCATAAACCATTCAGATGAAAGAAAAGCAACACAGAGAAACAAATTTTAGTGTTTATCTTACTGTGAAGATTCCTAGAGTGAAGTTGGTGAACGTGGGCAGAGATTTGCTCCCAACCGTAGCTTCTGCTTCGACATTTAGATGCTCGTATCGAACTTCAATCGTCGGCAGCTCCACTCCAACCCTTCAGAAACAAGCCCCATAATCAGAACGGAAAAAGCTGGGGAATAAGAAAAGGAAAACAGAGAACTCCCCTGTTCTTAGTCTAGGTTTCCTTCTGGTACCCATAAAAAATTTTACCCTCTTGTTTCCTTTTTAAGCAAAAGATTATTGTGAACCGTCAAAAGGAATCAGTTAGATCATAGATATTGCATATAACTATTACTCGTACTAGCTGATATTCATACTCCAAAATGCAGAACAGAGCTCCTCTGTTTCCTGGTCTAATTAGTTTCCCCTCTTCCTGGCAGTCTTTCTTTTATTTCCAGAGTAACCAAAAACAAGAAAATGCAGGTGACTGATTACCTGTCGATTCTGCTCTTGAGCTTCAACAAGAAGTTCTCGTTGTCCTGGTCGGCAACTCTGACGAGGCGGTCAAGGAGAATCTTCCTCTCCTCGATTCCGAGATGTTGGATGTCGATCTCGCTGAGCTCAGTCTTGGAAGCGCTGGCCAGTATGCCTTTCCGGAGCCGATCGTAAGTAGGTAGCTTCTCGAGTGCAGCCCATTTCAGTGCTTCCTCGTCGTTCTCCTCCCTCGAAGAAGCAGAGAACAACTCCGACGGGTTGCTCCGCCACATGGAAGCAGACCCGCCGTGACGGAGGCTGTTCCTCGCACTGTACAGATCCCCGGTGTCCATTTTTTTTCTGGGCCGATGGGCCAGTAACCCAGACGAGTAAAACAAAATCCAAGGTCAAGAACTCACGAACTGTTGCAGCAGAGTTGGGTTCTTGAGGTTTCCCAGGAGAATGGAGGAGGAGAAAGAAGGTGGTGGTGTGTTGTTGTTGGAGATTGGAGGGAAATGGGGAGGTTTTTAAATGGCAGTGGGAAGTGACTTTCTGTTGAATCGTCAAACTTGGAATAATTTAGCCATATTTTACTTGTTTGTCGAGGCTTTCCGAGGGAACGGTTTCAAAGAAAGGGGACTTTAATGTGAAGCATGTGCCATGTGGGGACTTCAAAAACATTGATGGGGTACTACTATACGTTAATTTTTTTTTGCTAATTGCACAATTAACAAATCTTTCGAGTACATTTCGTAAAAAAAAAAAAAAAAAACTTTTGAGTACAAATGTTTAGATCTGAAAGTTTTGTTACTTGGGGTTATTAGCAAACTAGCCATGGCAGTGCGGTGTCTAATGATGGCAAAAATATCTGTAACCGTGGATATCTGCTCGAATCCGGCCTAATTGGATAGGGTGAAATTCGAATTCGAAGGATATTTAGTGGGTACAGGTAAAATTCGAACCCGAATATTTCGGGTAATGGGTGGGCATGGGTTTCTCTCTATCCAACCAGAACCCGCCCGATATGTACACATACATATGTATTTTGTCTAGAAATAATCATTATTTTTCTCTAGCATATTTTATATTTAGCATATAAATATAATATTTTCATGAAATTGTTTAGTTTTAATTAATTTTCTTCATTCTAGTGAATTATTGTCGTACTTTTCCTCTCACATAATGTGAGAATACGTGTGAATGTTAACATATTGGTTGGAGTTATGAAGAGAATTATTACCCATGGATAACCGTGGATACCCGAAACCCGAACGGGTATGACATGGTTTTGATTTTATACGCGTTTCACATGTGAGTATGGGTATGAGTAAAACCCGAACTACTATGAGTAGGGTAACGGCAGTGGCGGACCCAGGAATTTCATTAAGGGTGTTCAACAATAAAAACAAAATTAACAAGGATTGTCAAATAGTTTTGAATTCAAATACCACCATTAATAAATCAAAATTTTACAAAGAAATTTTATTCTAAAATTGAATCAAGGTTTGTTAGTTGATAAACCTATCACCAACGTAGGTCCGCCCCTGGGTAACGGATATGCACTATCCACGTCCGACCCGACCCATTGCCATTCCTAGCGGTGTCAGATGTTAGATATTTTGGCTAGATCTACGAGATGAATGTAGGTTGGCTCGTTCGGATAAATATTTTACATATTTTGAATACAACGAGATGAGTATGTGGTAGGATTAGAGGAGGACTCGAATCTTCCTCTGTCAATAGGCACTATGGATAAGGCATAATTCGAAACAAGTCAGGGGAGAAAAATTGGATGAATCAAATTCGTTATGTGTTGTAGTTGTTTGATGAATGTTACTACGGACATGCTTTGAATCTAGGTAAAAAAGTTAACAACAGAATTTGATAGTTGGAAAATGTTAGAAGCACTAGTTTAAGGATTAGAGTTTCCCAAAAAAGATAGTTGAAGGATCAAAACGTGGGATCCTATAGATTATTGGAGTGATGTGTACCCTAGAATACACGTGGGGAAAAGAGAGAGAGAGGTAAATAAGCAGGAGTAGATGCCAGATTTATTTAATGTGGGATGGAGGGTACAATTTGACCAGCTGAACGCGGGAATAATTAAGTTTAAGTTAAGTATAATTATACAGGCTGGGCTTTCGTGTTTCGCCTAAATAATTTTCCATTCTGCACGTTATCTTCGGCGTGAGGCGCCAATATGATATCAATTAACTAAAAATAAAGTAACAAACGAACAAAAATGGGGGTTCCTATGTTCTGGTTACTTAATTTTTGCCTTTATGGTACAACTTAAAATTATATATTTATATTATGGTACAATTTCAGATTGTACCTATACTGTTTGTACAAATTCTTTTATGGTACAACTTGAACTTGTACCTTTATGTGATGGTACAACTTCAAGTTGTAAAGTTGTACCATAACATAATGATACAAATTCTTTTATGGTACAATCTAAACTTATACATTTCATGTTCTGGTACAACTTTAAGTTGTACTTTTATGGTACAATCTAAACTTATACATTTCATGTTCTGGTACAACTTTAAGTTGTACATTAAAGTACCAATACTATATAGTATAGTAGAAATGCTCACATTAAAAGATGTTTAATTTTTAATTATGAATGCATAGAGCCGTCCAATGGATCATTGAGACCCTGTTCCAAATTTAAGATGTAGTCCAAATTGACAATAAAATTAAAAGATTGTATTATAATTATTTGAAATCTAATATCTTTCTAACATAGTGTAAAATAAAATTATTTGTTATGCTTCTAATTTTCATACTCTTCATGGGATAATTTCAATTGTTATCATAGATACTTCATTAAAATTTTCTTCTGTTATCTTTTTAATGCAAATAGAATTTTCGAAACACAAACAATACTTTAACAATCGATATAAGTGTGCAAGGTATATATATACATGAGATTATTAACCAATGACTAATAGTAATATTAATTCATATAATTAATTAAACTCATTATCATACTCATAATCAATTAATTAGTACTAATATTATTAATTTACAATATACGATCGGGTTAACTCAGATCCAAGTGGAGGGCCCTAATAATCGGAGGGCCACCTAACACACCACACCCTCTTGGCCGAACCTGCTACCTGGCAATGCATCTTCTTTGTTTTAACTCGAATGTTAAAACGTTTCGCACAAAGTGAACAGATACATTGTGATGTACACAATGTCAAGCATTTTATATATATTCCGAGAAAGATATGCATGAACTACTCGGCTACTCCTGATCACTTTCTGTCTTTCGTTCGAAATCTGGAATATTTTGCAAATTAATTTAAAAAAATTGAACATGTGAAATTATAGCGAATTCTCCCTCGTTATTATTTGGTTTATGATCATTCGCTTCTTTTTTTTTTTTTTTTTTTTTTCTTGTGACCCTATCATGGAATTAGACTGCTAGCTCGTTGAGCAGCTAATCCGACCCAGCAGTTCGCCCATACCTCATCTCCTTCGTCGAAAGCCTGCTCAAAACTAATTGGTGACGCATCGCCCATTTACATGTATCAAGAAGAGAACGGAGCCACCAAAAGCAGGTATAATCGAATCATATGCTTCCCGTAAACATAAACAATGAACACATATAAAACAAAGGGATCGAGCAGGATGATTTTCTTTTACAAAAAAAAAAAAAAAAAACTAAATAGTTCTAGAAAGGTGTGCTTGAGTTGATTTTGGCCTGCGTCATGGCTTGTAGTGCGGATTGAGTTTATGTAAAATAAATATAAAAAAAACCCGCATTTAAAACGTCAGCAGATAGGAGAAACACCCATATTCCTGATGTATTGACATAACGGAGTTGTTGTTTATTATAGGGGAGAAGGGATGGGATTCGGTTTCCCAATTAACGGTTTAACTAGTAATCTTAATGATAACCGTGATTATCAGTTAAATCGTTAAGCGGGCGGTAGCGGTAGTCGGAATGGAAATTTGGGACAGCAGTATACCGATACCCGAAAGCTAACTAACCGACGAACAAGCGATTTTTCGATACCGGAATTGCAGGACGCAGTGGGGAAGTAAATCTCTAATATGAGTCCTAACTCCTGAGATTCTCCTAATTAGTTATAAACTTGCAATTGGTTCTCTATTAGGAAAATGAATTAGTAATTACAGATTAATAATTCTCCTCCCCTCTCTCCCAACAGCCAGCCTCACGATCACGAGTTCCGACGCCGACGCCGGTGCAGCTTCCCTGTCAGTTTCCGTCGACAGTGCTCTCTCCGTCAGTTTCAGGTTTGTTGTCATGTTCCCAGCTCCCTCGCTGCAACCTCAAAAGCTATTTTCGATTTTTGAAGGGAACAACTTAACCTGGACGTGTTGCTGTGAAGAAGAAGTAGGGGTGGAGGTCGGTTACTTTCGGTTATCACTGGTAACCGATCGGTCGGTTATCAATGGTAATCGATCGGTCGATTATCGATGAACTAAAATGCCGATCTCCAACCGACAATCGACAGAAATAGGCTTAAGTTATCTCGGTTATCGGTTAGCCGTGCCACCTCCAAGACCAAAACCATCTCGTCCAACCTCCGATAACCGACCGAATTTCAATTATATCGGTTACTAATAAGTAAATAACCGACTGTTTACCACCCCTAGGGAGAATAATAAGAATAGTAAAGACATTTTAAGTCCCTGTACTATGCATATTTGTTGAATAGGGCCCCTTAGTACTACGAGGATTTTATTTATCCAAATCGACCTAGCAAAGTCAATTTCACCGTTTCTAGATCGAGTCGTCAACGATTGGTGCGTGCCCATCAGTACTACCATAACGCAATTTCAATGCATGCCTGCAGATTGCCAGCAACCTTAATTAATTAATTAATTAAAGTTGACCTTCTAGACGTACGTACGTGTGATTGAAATAATGTCACTTGTGTAAGTATTGCCCCCTAGGTGGGAGGGGTAATATTTCCGACCCCGTTGAAGTTATGCGGTCTATCAATAGAAAACGATGAATGGTCCGGCAATCAGCGGCGGATCCAGGGGCCGCCCCGGGCCACGGCCCATCTCTCTCCAGATCCAAAATTTGTATAGTACTTGTAAATTTTCAATTTTGGATATATATTTTAATGTTTATAGAATTACGACCTAGTTCTCTCCATCGCTTTTTAAATGCGGTCCAGTATTCTAACCTGTTCTGGATCTGCCGCTGCCGGTAATAATAGATAATCGTCGTCGCCTTCCCCATGAGCTCGATCGCTTCACCCAAACGGCCTCGAGGTACCGAGGAAATAGTCCAGGAGCATCCCGGGTAAAGAAGGAAATACCCGACCGGGTTTTTGCTCGAATCAATTTTTGTTACCTTTATGGTTTATTATTCTTTTCATTTTTAGTGTTTTCATTAGATTTATTTTTCATACCTATTTAAAGGGTTGTAACTTGTAAGCCACGGATTTTAGCAGATTATTGAGACAGACTTTGATAATGAAAAAACTATTTTCGGTCATTGAGTTCTTACTTGTGGACTTCTGAAAGGGGCGATTAACTTTCCTTTAATTTGATCGTACTCCTTTACACTTCCTGCAAGGCTAAAATGGGCTTGAGACGAATCCTAAGCCCAT